ACGTCTGATTTATTGAGTAGTTGATAGCCAACTTCAGAACGATAGTCAAATCATTCCTAACAGCAAACACAAAAGAAAATTAATAAAAATATAGGTTCAGTAAATCTATTTTTTTGTTCACAAAACCAATTGTGTCAAGACACTTTAAGACACCAAAACCTAGAAAAACTAGTACAAAAACAATCCAAAACAAATATAAAACATAGATAAACTTACTCCGTTTTGTTGACGACACAAAATTACATTTCGCAGCAACAAATGTTGGAGAATCCGTTGTTTATTTCGAATAGAAAGTTTGACTTAAATCAAGTTGCACATGCACTATTCATACAGCGCTGAATGGCTAGCATTCGATCTAAGTTGTACCAATTCTTGGCCATTCCACCGAGCTCTCCGTAGAAATGTTCTATAGAAAATTTTCGTGCTTTCTCAAAACTGTTTTCTTCGGAACGATTTCGGAATTGCACGAGACGGTATTGCATTTCGATTTGTTAAGAAACACTTGACGAAGGAAATGTTCTATTTTGATACTTGTTTTTTTTTCAGCTGTTCCATAGTTACATTACTTAGATCTTTGGACCGATTGTCGTCGTTCACATTTTAAATGAATTGTATTTTGTTAAATAAGTATTTTTAAATGAATTGTATTAGTGAGTGTCTTAACACAGGACACCTTTTGGTGTCTTCAGGACACACAAGTAAATGCTACATTATGTTGCTCATTCCGCAAAGATTTCAATGTGATCCTGGACTTTGTTCTATTACCAAGAATTGCTCAATTATCACAATTGCAGTTAGCGACAAATATACAAGTTTCAACGAATTTCAACGTACTCTATAACGGGTTACCGGGGCTCCAGCTCGACGTGCAGGAGAAGGAACGGGGTGGTTTTTAGTCAGTAAGAGTTTGACACTCCCTCCCGCCTCACCCAGGAGGGAGCAGTCATTCGTTGATTACCGCCCCTTAAAAAAAAACCAGCGACAAACTGTTATAAATAGTGATAATACATTATTAAATCAATCTTTTCTCCATAATACCACACCACATTTTAGCCCGTTACATCACTACAACCAAACAATAACGCAACACGCAGTACATAACAAAATGCACATAATATAACATAAAGGGTGTTGCCACAAAGCTTTGGGATAAAGAGATTAATCATAGGCCGTGAACGTGGTTAACCAGCGTTTGTGTGAATCGCGTGTGGTATGGATGTGGTAACACCGACGCGTAGTCAATGCATGGAATTTGAAGTTTTCAACGGACTTTTAACTAGTCGTTGGCTACGGTTTTGCTTGTGTGATTTTGTGTCTTTTTTGGCATTGTGAGGTCTCTAAAGATCATCGTGTTGAATAGGTTATAACTGTTCTGAAAATAGAGATTATATATAGTCGAAAAATTGATATTATCCATGGGATTATACACAACAGAAATAGTCACATGTTTTTGGGCCTCAGGACGATTTTACATGTGGACGTCTAACCAATAAACTCTTTTGTTCCATAACTATCTCTTTTTCTTCTCCTCTTATAATATCTTCTGATTCATTTTGTTGCGGGAACCAAGACAGTAATTCATGTCCGTGGGACGCGCTGGACTTCAGTGTTCTGATGTTTTCACGGTTGTTGTAGATCCTGGCTTACTGAAGTTGCAGCGCTTTGGAGAGGTTGTGGCGGGGTTGTCTCAATAAAAAACTATTTCTTTTGTTTATAATTATTTACTTGAATGGACGCTTTTTAGATTTCCTGGATAGCTTATAAAAAGAAAACATTTATAAAGAGCAGCAACAAAAAAAATAAAATAAAAAAAAACAAAACGCTAAACAATTAAAAATAACAATGAAATAGTAAATAAAAATACAAGAACAAAGTGATCTATGTGGCTATCGCCGCGTGTGAGCATTCCATTCCCTGTGGTTGCAGTGTAGCGGTAAAAACGTACTGCGATGGCAAAAACCCCGACTTTTATATATCGGAGAATATTTTTCCTTAACAGGAACGCGTTTTATAGGTGTTACGAGGTATATTAGTTACGTGTCCCCGTACGTTCTCTTTGGCACGAACAGATTTGACGTAACCTTTTTATCCATTAAAATGAGATGCAATATTGTATATTTCTTTCGTACACGTTCTTCTTTGACGTTTTTATGATAGTTTTAGCTTTGATAATGTTTTTGTTTTGTTTTTTTTTTACGGGATAAGCCGGTAAACGATCTGACGGATCACTTGAGCATTCGGCGTTGGTCGCCCATGGATACCGAGAATACCAGAGGCATCACAGTTGCGTTACCGGCCCTTTGGGGACCTGGAATTGGAGGGATGTTAGAGGTTTATACAGTGGGGAGATAGGGGAGGGGTAATTTGACTTAGACGGCGAAAGACAACGCAAGCGTTGTTTCACGTCGGTTTTATGTGAGACCATGATATCACTCCGATAGAGCCGGCCCATTCGTTCATTTTCTTTGCTTTGGAAGGAGTCTATCTGAGATTGGGTCGCAGATATCCATCGGAGGAGTATATGTTTGTTTGAAAGCTCACTATCCTGGGATTTAATTTTGGATTGTATCGCTATTACTAAACAGGAGCCTATATAATTTGTCCTTCGTCGGTATCACATGATCTTCTTTAGCGTTTTATATTCTTGTTCAAAGTGGATTTACTATTTCGAGGAGCCGACAATCAACATAAAACGGATTGAATGTCACATACATACGTATAATAAATATAATAGTTGAATCCCTGAACCATGAATTCTTTATTTACCATTTCAAAACCATGTAAAGACTAACAAATCCTATCCTATTAAACTTACAAACGAAACATAAAAGTAATTACAAGTCCTTCTAAAAATAAGTCAACAAAATGTATTTTGAAACAAATCAAAATAAAACCTTTGCTGTACCAGTACCACACAGTAACAACTTTACTTACGCTGTTGGAATACAAAACCGTTGTGTTACGTATGTACTGTGAAGTCGGTAAAACTGACAGTTAACTAGAATAGCGCGCGTACGATATAACTTTATTTGACTTTTGCTGCAACACTGCTATGTATGAAAGACTGTATGGAAAACTATTTATTTTATGCAATGAAAGAAAGATTCTTAATGTTTTTTCATTTTTTCCAACTTGCATCTCTTTTTATCTTACATATTAATTCTCCAAGGACTCTTGGTCTGTGCCCTTGTCATACATGTTTTTACAATACATCTAATTAATATTTATAAAGTAGGTACCTAGTTACACACTACAATCAACTACATCTCTCATCATAACTAAAAGAATATATTACATAATAATTAGCTATTGTCCATTTATATCTATTTATTATCATTATATCTATATTTGACCTAGCAGAGGCATTGTGAATGTTATGGATCACAATAAAATTGTAGCTTTTCCGAAATTCCTGTTAAGTATAAATTGCTTGTAAGTACATTGCACAGTTCTATATGTGCTTGCTAGATAATTATAATCGGTTTTATTCTAACTCCTTCTTGCACTTGCCCTTTATCTACCAAAGATCGACACTTTTTTATACTTAATAGGTCGACGTTTGACCTCTATCTCGCTTGGTGGTAAGCGCTGATGTGGTCGACGATGGAGCACGCCTACCTATAAGCAACCTGTTCACTCGGGACTTGAAGACACCAAGTCATATTTGACGGAAAACACAGACTCTGGCAAGGAATTCCATTCCTTAGCGGTTCGCATGAGGAAGCTTGACGCGAAACGCTTCGTGCGAATAAAATAAATAACTAAATAAAGTAAATAACTCAACCTAGGTCTTAAGTATATTTACTTTAGCTGCATATTTACACCACATTCTTTGTTACATACATAGCCGGATTTTGCAGGCTTTTAACTATAGGTAATAATTTCACATAGAAGTCATTATAAGAACTACAGTTTTACATGCTTTCTGACTTTTCCCTGGTGTTTACTCGACAATTCATAATACATACGTCGTAAGAACTTTCTAGATGTTTACCTTACAGTTGCGTGCACCGTAACGTAAATGATTGGGCATATCAAGCCGTTAAGGCACGATATATTAAGGCACTTACTACTTTTATAGACCTTAAGTTGTTACAGCAAGGTTCATTTTGGAAGTTCATTATTGTATTATGTAGGTATGTACAGTTTTGATAAGCCTTAAGTTGTTATAGTTAAGGTTTATTTTAGTAAGTCAAGTTTGTTGTATAGACGTGTGTGTAATGCTTGCTTCAGGAGTCAATTATTTAGGTGTTTAATAATAATTTATATTGGAATGTTTCGTAATACCTAATTACTTAAGGAATTTTGTTGATGTAGTGAAAATTAACACATACATAACATTAATTATTATGTTTTCGGTTTACTCACGTAACTGTTTGTCGAAGACGCGGCGACTGTCGCGCTGGTACATAGTCTCATGAAGATGAATGCTGCTCATGAATATGAGCCTCTAGCATGGCTAGAAATTAGTCGAGTTCTTCGTCAAACATTGAATATAAACATATCTAACATTCATGATGTGCCGCTCCTCAAGTCGTAAAAACAATGATTAGCGATTATTATACTTACCATTGACATTAAAAATAGGCCCATTTTGAGAATTTACCATTACAAACTTAAATCTTTTTGCTTAGAGTTAGAAATTACCTACTTAGATAGATACTTAATTAATTACTTAGACCAATAAATTCGGATTTGGCCTAATAGGGCTGATGCCGATTCGGAGTCGCGGAGAACCTTAACGGGTTACCGGGGCTCCGGCTCGAAGTGCAGGAGAAGGAACGGGTTGGTTTTTAGTCAGTAAGAGTCTGACACTCCCTTCCGATTTACCCAGGCGGGAGCAGTTATCCGATGATTTTCCCATCTTCATAAAAAATACCAGCAAACTAACATAACTTTTCCATTGTTTCAGATGCAAAATCAACAAAAAAGTGCAATGAAGTTAACAAAACAAATTGTAGTTAAGTGAAAACAATGGGAAAAGTGTCAATGATCCAAACATGAAGATTTACAAGAAATTATTTTGGACTTTACTGCAAGGCTTCGTTTTGTTACCGACGATAGCGTTGCGAGGTAAGTGCTGTAATAAAATACACATAAAACATCACGCTTTTATTTCCCTTGGGATAAGCAGGTGTATGTTACTGGAGACGTTAAGTGTGGGAGAGCTATGCTTCGGCACGAATAGGCCGGCTCGATTGTGTGATACCACGGCCTCACAGAAAGCCGACGTGAAATAACGCTTGCGTTGTGCTTCATCGTGTGAGTGAGATTCCCGGAGGCCCAATTACTTTTATTAAGTCTATCCTAGTTGAGACGTCGCGGAGAACCTAACGGGTTACCGGGGCTCCGGCTCGACGTGTAGGAGAAGGAACGGGGTGGTTTTTAGTCAGTAAGAGTCTGACACTCCCTTCCGCCTCACCCAGGCGGGAGCAATCATTCGATGATTATCCCCCCTTAAAAAAAAATCCCAGTTGAGACACGAAGCACATTATAGTATTACTAGCTTAACCTGCAACTGCGTTTGCATTTTTCTAAACTCTTTAGTATATTAGCTACCTGGGAGTAAAAGTCCTGTCAAAATCGGTTCAGCCATTTCAAAGATTAGCTAGTACAAATAGACAGACAGACATAAATTGTAAAAAGTGTTATTTTGGTATATGCATGTATTAAAAAGCAGTTATTTGAATATGATTCTGTAATCTACACTAATAGTATGAAGAGGAAAGATTTGATATTTTGTTTGAATTGAATCTCCTCCGAAACTACAGGACCGAGTTGAAAATTTTTTTAAATCCCGGGTACCAATTTTTAATAGGTAATTTGCTTTACCCGGGACTCAAACCCGAGACCCCTTGCCCAGCAGTCGCACTTGTAACCACTCGGCCGACGAGGCACTCATTGCAAGTAAGTTTGCAATTACCATACAACTTGAACCACAAAACTTGATTCATGTCTTGTCACTTGATTCATATTTAACCAATAGTAATAACTTAAACTCGATCAATATTAACGCTCGTCTCAAAGGACCAACAATTTAGTATTAACTAATTTGAATGAATAATCAAAGGACCCGCTAATAGTTCGAGAGCTGGTAAATGAAATGCTACTCCAAGTTGATACTGAATATCTAACGCTTTTGCACTGAGTGTGTTATGAGATCTGGCACTGATATAATTCTATGCTTAATTTGTTGGTAGGTAGAGGTGTAAATTGCATGAACTTTTTTCTGCGTGTGAAAAGATTAAGACAATAGAAAATTAGTTCGTTACTAAAAATTAAGGGTAGACTTGATGTTACTATTGAAATTGTTTTTACTGTCTCTTTCGCTCTATCTCACTCTCTATTCTCCTTTTTTAAATACACGAACAAACATCAAAAATATTTAAGATCGCTTCTATAGTTAATACTGTAGTTGAACAATATTGTAGTTTCAAATACTACGTGGAATAAAACTAAAAAACCAATAATGGACTAATATACATGTACATTGGATATATACTGATATAACGATATAACAGAATTTATGGTCATTTGAATATTGAGACAGCCTCATTGGCCGAGTGGTCGCAAGTGAAACTGCCGGGTAAAGGGAGTTTTTTTTGATAGGGGAAAATTATCTAATTACTTCTCCCGCCTTGGGTTGGCGAGAGCGAGTGTCAGACTCTTACTGAATAAAAACCACGGCTGGGGCGTGAGGAGGTTTGTTCCCTCACGCGTTCCACCTCCTCTTTGGCTAGCATGACTGCTTCGCAGAAGGAGGAGACGGCATCCCAGTCTCTCGCGCTCCGCACCATGTCTTGAACCAGAGCCGGATGCAAGAGGTCGCCGTCGCCGATCACATCTCTGAGGACGCGGCGGTGCCCAGCCCAAGCAGGGCACACCGCCACTGTATGCTCTGAGTGGTCCTCGCAGTAATGACGGGTAAAGGGTCTGGGGTTCGATTCCCGGGTCGGGCAAAGTATAACTGGGTTTTTAAAAATAAGTCAGTAGTAGTACAAAATCTGGCATTGTGCCCGGTATTTAGCAATAGGCTCACCCCCTATTACATGAGACTCATAACATAAATACTTAGTGAAAAATGGGTGTTACATTGTACAGTGGCATTAAGTACTGTAATGTGCACCTCTGCTTACCCCTTCGAGAACAAAAGGCGTGATGTTTTGTTATGCATTTAATGAATATTGCACAACTTTTAGGAAAACTAAGATGACTGCCTATAGATAGTAACAAACAATCCTGTACGCCATCATACAGCGAATACACATTAAACTGTCAAACACCAAGCGGTCACCGGTGACCGCAACCTATTGTTCTTTAATTGTGTCTATAAATACGGTACTCGACGAGTTAAATAAGTGTTCCCAGATTTTAATATATTAGAGCCATGCAGTTAATATTACTCTCATGAACTATATAATTATTATTATTCAATAACATTAAGCTGTAGCTACCATAGCCATTAACAAAACCTCGCCTAACTAAGTGATACTGATTGACACTAAGTGGTCACTAATGTAACACCAGACTACATATCTGGCAGACTTCCAAAACTACGGCAGGATATTTACATAAAGTATTACGTGTGGACGGTATCTGGAATTGAATCTATAGGAGTCTGGGAAGGGAATAGAAATGAGAAAAATTGTTTCTGGACAGAATTATGCTGACCATATTCGCTAGGGCTAGTTTCTGAGCAAAGGGTGCAGTTTGAGTGTAAATTGTCAGTTCTTTGTGGTCTATAAATGAAAGTTGTCGCGGAGAACCTAACGGGTAACCGGGGCTCCGGCTCGACGTGCAGGAGAAGGAACGGGGTGGGTTTTAGTCAGTAAGAGTCTGACACTCCCTCCCGCCTCACCCAGGTGGGAGAAGTCATTCGATGATTTCCCTCCCTTAAAAAAACAATAAATTAATTAATGTTCCGAGTCTAAGATATGATCCTCAAGTTTGTAGCATGAACAGACGTGCACATATATAAATGAAACACCCTGTTTTCGGTAGTGATGTTAAGTTCGACTATAGTGGTGGGTGAGGCCATTAGCGTAATCAACACATAACAGTCTCAACTTCAAGCCCCAATTAATTTTTGAGAATTTTCAAAAACTCAAATACACTGCATGATCTAGAAAATGAATTCAATGCCCGAGGGATAGTCGTACTACTTGACTGTCTAATTTTCATATAACTTATTATGAAATACACACGTCATACACTACAAACCTAAGACAACCCACATTCTCTTAGAAAGACACATTCAAAGTCTATAATTTTACAACAGAACCATTATAACAACGTCAGCCAAAACGAGTTAATAAACCAAGTACATTACGGGGCAACGTAATCGAACTTTTTACTCACTTGGGGCTGATGTGAGTGTTTGAACGTCAATCCCCCCTTAACATTACAGCTCAGTAGGGGAAAATTGCCACTGACACTTCAGAAAATTGTAGCCAGTCACCAACAAACATTTGCATCTTAAAAACTCCCTTCACAAGCAAAATTAACCCTTATATCCTTGCATATAAAGCCTCCTAGATTTATGATAAAGGTTCTTTAATAGTTTGCTAGTAGTTTGTCAGGCTGAAATTATTTCGTTAGTATAATTTGTACGGTATGAATAATGTGTAGGTGTAATTAATGTATTACATAAAAGCGATTAGCTGATACGTCTTTCGATAAGCGTGTTGTTTAATTGGTCTTTTGAGTCTTTTTATGGTCTTTTTGTGTAGTGTGAATTAGGGTTTATTGGAGGTATAATATACTTATTTAAAAATGTTGTGTCTGGGTCGATATTGGCTAGTCGAAGTGGTATTAGTTAGAATATAGTGTCTAATACCTATAATATATAATGAAAATTTACATAATAGCACGCCTAATATTTTCCAAAGAGGTAGGTAGAACTAGTGTTCTAATAAAACTGATATGTGTAGTTAATGTATTATTACACACACTAATATTGGTTTGCCTTAGAAATAGGTAGATAATGATAAAATAGTGGAGGTATTTTAGACAATTCATAACCACTATCCGATTATATTTCTCATAACCATTAAATTAAAAGACAAAAAAAAAATTAAAACTTTACAATCTATACTCTCGTTATGATAATTAACATCTCATTTCGTTCGGAATAAGTAAATAAAGGCCTACGTTATTTGGGGGACGTCAAAAAATTTCACGGCAAAATTGACAAGGTACTTATTATTCGGCTTAAGGCGGATGAGTCAATTGAGGGGAAATAAATTATTTTTGATGCTTTCTTGTCTAAATAAATAATACTTTCTCGATAGAATGAACAACTGGGATGATGACAGAGTATGAAAATTAAAGATCTAATAATAATTAGTCCGTAAATTAGGTAATGAAAAAATATTACACGTATTTTTTTATTTTGTCGTATAATAAAACAAAACTTGGATAAAACGAACCAAAGTTTAGGAGTGGGGGCTAAAATGTACATAGAAGTCACGTCACGTGACATTTCAAATCAATATATCGTCGAAAGTATTCGTTTCTGTAAGAAAATAAAAAATATGTGTCTAATAATTTTAAATAATCTACCAGACGGACATTAAAATAAAAATTAGACATATACTCTATTGACTACACGGTTGCTGTGATGGCTAGATAACTGGCTGTCACGCAACGTGTTGTGTAGCAATGATTCACTTATTTTTACAATGCATCTTCTCATCTTATTATGTTGCAAGGAAAATAAATTAATGAGACATAAAATAATAGAAAGATAATTATACTCCTTCACGGAATACTATATTATTCTGTGATGTTACGATATTGTATTCATCTACTTTGTAATGTTAATAACAATTTGTTTCACTATCGTAATAATATAATAGAAAGTAGGTAAGTAGTTCTTTATATTTTTAAGCTACGTTTAAAATATTTGAATCTTCCGCGACCATTTCATAAGTAACTAATTTCATGTTAGAATTAATTGAAACACACTATATTTTCTTTAACCCTTTGAGTACCGTCATTATAGACACAATTGAAGAACAATAGGTTGCGGTCACCGGTGTCCTCGCGGTGTTTGACAGATTAATATTAAATAC